GCAAGTATAGGAAGATGGAACTGCGGCTGCACGCAACGGAGCAAGCGCAACTTCAAATGCAGCAAGAAGCAGCGTGGGTATCAGGGAAGCTTCTGGGATCAGTTTGTTGTTGACAAAGAATGTACAGTGTGCAGAGGCAGAAGATCCTTGAGCTCAGCAACACCATCAAGCTGTACCAGAAAGAGCTGGAAGCGGCGCGCCGTCGTGATGCGCTAGGGACAAGCGTGGGTGAGGAAGAATACCGACGATTGCAGGACACGAACGAGCGTTTGCGTAGGCAAAACGACGAGCTGAGGGAGGAGATTGAGGAAGTAAACGCGATGGTGGAATTGCTGAAGGGACGACAAGGGCTTGTGGTGTCTTCGCCGCGTTCGTCGCCTGTGCTGGGACCAGTGACAGCTTGAGCTTGGGCCGAGTGTACTGAGCGCTAGACATGGGATCCCGGAATGGAAGGTGTTGTAGAACGTCGTGGAAGGTTTTCGAAGGTTCGCGCGCAGGTGCAGGCAGAGAGACGGGCGTCTGTGCCTTTATGTGGACAGGGATGGAAGGTTCTCGAATGGCGAGTCGAGCAAAGTACATAAACCCGCGTCCTCTGCCGCAGCTTCCCCAGCTTGTTTCTGTCGTTTGCATTCGTTTACCCATCTCTCCCTCTTACCCCCTCTTACGACCCCTCACGCTCAAAAATGGCCTCTGAGAGCTTCGGCTTCCAGGCTGAGATCAGCCAGCTCCTCGACCTCATCATCAGTGTGTATTCATCTGTCTTCTGAGGTGGTCTTCAGCGCATCGATGCTAACTCGACCTTTGCAGACACCTTCTACTCTAACAAGGAGATCTTCCTTCGTGAACTCATCTCCAACGCGTCCGATGCCCTCGACAAGATTCGCTATGCCTCTCTGACCGACCCCTCCGTCCTTGACTCGGGCAAGGATCTCTTCATCCGCATCACCCCCGACAAGGAGAACAAGATCCTCTCCATCCGCGATACCGGTGTCGGTATGACCAAGGCCGACCTCGTCAACAACCTTGGTACGATTGCCAAGTCCGGCACGAAGGTATGTCAATCGACGCGTCGCAGTGTGGCGTAAGACGCATCCAGGTAGCTGACGCGTTTGTCTACAGGGCTTCATGGAGGCGCTCCAGTCTGGCGCCGACATTTCCATGATTGGCCAGTTCGGTGTCGGTTTCTACTCCGCGTACCTCGTCGCCGAGCGCGTGCAGGTCATCTCCAAGCACAACGACGACGAGCAGTACATCTGGGAGTCCGCCGCCGGTGGCACCTTCACGATCACCCCTGATACCGTCAACCCCCCTCTCGGCCGTGGTACCGAGGTCCGTCTCTATCTCAAGGAGGACCAGCTTGAGTACCTTGAGGAGAAGCGGATCAAGGAGATCGTCAAGAAGCACTCCGAGTTCATCTCCTACCCCATCCAGCTCGCGGTCACCAAGGAGGTTGAGAAGGCGAGTTCTTTGTCTATTTGACGTGTACGAGGGCCGTACTGACCCTGCCTGTAGGAGGTTGAGGATGACGAGGAGGAGGTGAAGGAGGACAAGGAGGAGTCCAAGGTCGAGGAGGTCGAGGATGAGGACAAGGCGAAGGAGAAGAAGACCAAGAAGATCAAGGAGAAGCAGGTCACGAACGAGGAGCTGAACAAGACCAAGCCGATCTGGACTCGCAACCCCAGCGAGATCACCCAGGAGGAGTACGCCGCCTTCTACAAGAGCTTGACCAACGACTGGGAGGACCACCTCGCCGTCAAGCACTTCTCCGTTGAGGGTCAGCTCGAGTTCAAAGCCATCCTCTTCGTCCCCAAGCGGTAAGTACACGAGGTATCCACCTCGCCATTGACAATATGCTCAACTTCGACCCAGGGCTCCCTTCGATCTCTTTGAGTCGAAGAAGAAGCGCAACAACATCAAGCTCTACGTTCGCCGCGTCTTCATTATGGACGACTGCGAGGACCTCATCCCCGAGTACCTCAACTTCATCAAGGGTATCGTCGACTCCGAGGATCTTCCCCTCAACATCTCGCGTGAGACCCTCCAGCAGAACAAGATTCTCAAGGTCATCCGCAAGAACCTCGTCAAGAAGTGCCTTGACCTCTTCTCCGAGATCGCGGAGGACAAGGACAACTTCAACAAGTTCTACGAGGCGTTCGGCAAGAACATCAAGCTCGGTATCCACGAGGATGCCCAGAACCGCAGCAAGCTCGCTGAGTTCTTGCGCTTCTACTCGACGAAGTCCACGGAGGAGATGACCTCCCTCAAGGGTGAGTAGTTCGCTGTCCTACGACTGTATGCGAGCAATGGCTGACTTGGGCCCCCAGACTACATCACTCGCATGCCCGAGGTCCAGAAGAACATCTATTACCTCACCGGCGAGTCGCTCTCCGCCGTCAAGGACTCACCGTTCCTTGAGGTCTTGAAGAAGAAGGGCTTCGAAGTCCTTCTCCTCGTTGACCCCATCGACGAGTACGCTATCACGCAGCTCAAGGAGTTCGACGGACACAAGCTCGTTTGCGTCTCGAAGGAGGGCCTCGAGCTCGAGGAGACCGAGGAGGAGAAGAAGGCGCGCGAGGAGGAGGCCAAGCAGTTCGAGGACCTCTGCAAGGCGGTCAAGGACGCGCTCGGCGACAAGGTCGAGAAGGTCGTCGTCTCGAACCGTATCTCTGACTCTCCTTGCGTTCTTGTCACTGGCCAGTTCGGCTGGTCGTCGAACATGGTACGTAATCCTGCGTCTCTCACGCGCCGAACGTGTTACTGATGATTCGTCTACAGGAGCGTATCATGAAGGCGCAGGCTCTCCGCGACTCTTCGATGTCGTCGTACATGGCGTCGAAGAAGACGCTCGAGCTCAACCCTCACAACGCCATCATCAAGGAGCTCAAGCGCAAGGTTGCGGAGGACAAGGCGGACAAGTCCGTCAGGGACCTCACGTACCTCCTCTTCGAGACCGCGCTGCTCACCTCTGGCTTCTCGCTCGACGACCCCACGTCGTTCGCGAAGCGCATCCACCGCATGATCGCTCTCGGCCTCGACGTCGACGAGCAGGAGGAGTCTGCGCCTGCCGCGTCGACGAGCACCGAGGCGCCCGCATCGACCGAGGCCGCGTCGACCTCGGCGATGGAGGAGATCGACTAGATGGCTCGCGGACCTCTGGGGGTTAGAGTAGATCTGAGCAGTTTTTTTTCCTTGTAATGTGTATATTAGGTTCATGTCGGGCATTGCTGTCTTGTTGCATCTCACGATCACACTCATGCGTACTATAGTAGCACCGCATTGAATTCATTCCTTGCATCTCTCATTTGGTGTGCTCGTGTGTGATGTGCGACCATCCAAATTCTCAAACTTAAAAGCTTCACTGCTGGACTGGCTGAAGTCGGGGACCGGGAAGCGACTAATCCATGGATGCATGGTGTACAGTTACTGATTGATTCTCATAGATTGTTGTTACAGGTTTGTCCGTCGATTCAAGCGCCACACAGCAACTGTTAAGCCTCCCATCTACTTCTTCCTCGCAACGACCAGGAATGTCTGGTATGGGTACTCGAAGAGACCTTGCGCCTCGTCGATCCATACCAGCCCTTCTTTACGCTGCAAGATGGCATCGATGTCATCAATGACCTTCTGCTTGTCTTCGGGACTGAGGACCGCGATGTAGCTCTTGCTGCACGCGCGGTTGACGACGATGTCGCGCGTACCGTGGAGGACGTAGTCCCACACGTTTTCCTCCTGGGGCTCGAAGTTCGCGAGGTAGGAGGGCGTGGAGAAAGCAGCACGCCAGAGCCCGAGCCGGAACTGCGGCGTACCGCTCTCGTGTCGCTCGATGCGGTCGCGGAGTTGGGCCACCCAGGCGGCGCGGTTGCTAGCAGGCAAACGTCACCTTAACATCCGACGGGTTGACAAAGACAGCAGCAGCAGCATACCGGTCTTCGAGATTCCATATGAACGCGACGATGCCCTCCGGCTTGAGGATCCGAGCGAACTCGGCGACAGCCTTGTCGTAGTCCGGGCACCAATGGAATGCCTACGGCAGATACGAACTGAGATGAGCACGATGCAAACCGCTGGCGTGATGAGCGATGTCTTCTATACCTGGGCGATGACGACCAGGTCTGCCCATCCGTCTTCGATGCCGGTCGTATCGAACGTGCCCTCTCGCACAGACGCACGCGGGTCAGACACGGTCTTCGTGAACACGTCGCGCATGCCCTCGCTCGGCTCGACAGCGCGCAGCTCCTTGATGGAGTCCGCCCAGTCAGGGTGTGCGAGTAGTGCGCGCGTGAAGATGCCCGTGCCCGCACCGAGCCTGTCGACGACGTTCAGGTTGTCAGTATCTGATATGATGGGATACGATGCAGTGAGAGGATGAGATGCTCACTCTACCACATTGAGCGGCGGTGATGCCCTCACCGACTGACGGATGTGGGCAATGGCATTGGCTTGGTAGGAAGGCCGGGCCCTAGATCAAACTCACTTAGTCCTCTCCGCCCCCGGAAACCCGGCGGCATCGATCTTAGCACCTACCGGTCGTACAACTCATTCGTGCCCGTCCCAAAGCCCTGTTTGGCAAGCGCGTGGACCTTCTCGGACATGGTGCGTTTATAGATTGGGTTGGGTACAGGCAGAATTCCGCCTCGAGAAATTGTGCCACTCGCGGGGGTCAGCCGTGATAGGAATATGGATCGTACCTCCAGGATGCTCGCGCTATATATACGCACAGAGCACCGCGCCGCAATTGCCGCCAATGTCACCATTGTGGTGAGGTCTCTGTTTAGAATCGCGATAACGGTCTCAGCCGTCCGAATGGTCGGACGGGAGTCCGATCTGGGACTACTGACTCGGACACTGTCTTCCAAGCTCATGCATCGCCTGATTGAGAAGCATCTCTCGCGCACATACACTGACTCTCAGACGTCCTTCTTCTTCCGCAGCTTACTCACACGGCTTTAATACACGGCAAACGGCGAAGCATGCCCAGGGAGCCAGATCGAAAAAAGTGTCGACACCAGCAGGATTTGAACCTGCGCTCGGAGACCGAAACAGATAATCGAGTTGGTGATCAGGAGATCAGATATTCGAATCTGTCGCCTTAACCACTCGGCCATAGTGTCTTGAAGAAACGCGTCTCCGACAGCACTATATAGTCATTATGTCAAGTACTTCGTTAAATCCCACAGTACACCTCAAGGCGACGACAACCAGTGTTGCCACCTGCCAGTTGTAGCACCGGTGGAGTAAGGGTTCATCTGCTACTGGTTCAATTATGAGCTGTGGCAGGCTGTGGCATACCCAGGTCGAAGCTATGGAACATTGACTGGTGCGTGTAGCAACACCCGTCAACAATCGCTGAACATGCTCAGCATCAGCTGCACGACAAACGTGAGCGTTGGACCCTACTACTGGACGGTTGTCTTGTGGCAGCCGTCTAGATCTGCTATATCTCCGGATGCTACAGCGTGCACCTCTTATATGATTCCGGGAGTATGTGACCGTACAGATGGTGGGAATATGATACCGGTGTTCTAACTTCTACAGGCCGCAGCCTGGTACTACGACAGCCCTACAGACACACCCAGTCGAGATGCACAGCGATCAGCAGCGCAAGTACTGCAATGAGTCCCATTGGACGTCAACGTCGACGTATCGGACGCTCCGGTGACGGCAACAGTCTTTGGAACCAACCAGAGCTCACGTCACCGTTTCCTTCAAATGCAGAATCAAGAGTTGATGGTTGGTGTGCAACTGGGACCAGCCGCTGATACACTCTCATGACAGGCTGCATTGGGATTGCAAACGGTACGGGCCAGCCCACTCCCGCGGCGATCTCTTGCGTCCTCTTTCCGGTGTTTACAACACAGTATAATCGACGCACCCATCATAGGCTTGAACCGGTTGCGACCCAGGTTTCGCCCATATCGCACGAGCCAGTAAGGGGCGAAGTCGAGATATCGCTGCGGCGTACCAACCGCAACAGATATTCCCATGCGCCGAGTACTCCTGTCAAAGAATAATGCACTGCTTCTGCCATTGTGATGCAGATGTGCACCATACCGCACCCTCGGTATATACCAGAGCAGCGGTGGGCAGTCTAACAGATGAAGGTATATAAGCAAGCAGGCGGCCCAGCCCAGCCACATGAGCATGGCCGCCTGGTCGAGCCACCCTCATCCCTTCCGCAGCGCGGCATGAACGCGACAACGGATAGCGTGTACTCCCAGTGGGAGGAGGCGATCATTGAGGAAGCGGCCGATTAGTGAGTGCATCAGATATCCTCACAGTTGAGCTTAGCTTAGGCTTTCCCTACCCCCCTAGCCGCGCCTACAATTCCGTCGATCTGGCAGCTTTCGGTAGGCTCGTATCCCTGCGTGTATGCGCGGTCTTCTGATGATCAACAACGACAGTTTTCATTCTTTTTGAGTACTTGATCACCTTCGACAACGAAGTCGAATGCGTCTGGCGTCGGAAGCTTACATGGGCTAGACTCATCTTACTCCTTAATCGCTACATCGCTCTTGTCCTCTACCTGCTATCCATCACTCCTCTCATACCGGCGGAAAATCTACTTGTACGTTGGCGGGCCTTTTCGGTCAGGTACAGAGCATGTCGCTGACGCTACTTCCTTAGGGGTGAGTGTCTCCAACACACGATGCGGTGACTGGATCACGACCAACGCCGGGTCCTCACAGATGTCAAGCACTCAACTATACGATGCAAACATCTACGGTTCTTCTATATGGTGTATGGGCAGGCAAGTGCCTGTTCGGGTCGTCTCGCCAGTAAGACCCCATTAATTATGTCCCTTCTGTTCAGCATTTGCGGGCCTACGTGTGTACGCGATCAGCCACCACAACAGACCCATCACTATGCTCGTCGTGCTGCTGTCGCTAGTCCCTGTCGTGACTAACTTAGTATGTCCTTGCGTCAAAACCTTCTTCTACTCGGGTCGATCAGGCTAATGCCGTCCTTATGGGCAGTATCTTGAGATCCAACTCGTTGACACGTATTCGGAGGACACAGGCTGCGTCTCCGCGTTAGCCTTCTCATCATCACTCTGGCGTAGGTAAGTGCGCATCCTCCGTCCGGGCCCGAATCCGTCTATGCGTCTCCCCTTCCACATACTGATGTTCCCCAGTTGTAAGTTGCAAGTCTCCTCACATAGGCCCCACTTGTGAGGAGGCTCATCCGCGGCTACTTTACAGTGTCGATATTGACAAGAGTATGTTCCGTCGCATACGAGGCCATCATCGTTGCCGTGACGTGGATGAAGACGTGGACGTACGTGCGCGCGAACGCCCTACCAGGCATCCCCAAGTCCGTCATGACTTTCGTACTCCATGAAGGCATACTCTACTTCACGTGAGCCCCTACTTCCGTTCCTGTAGCGTGTTCCGCCCGCTCAACATCGTCCGCCCGCTCAAAGCGTCATAATGGTCCTTAACGCAATCCAGCTCGTCTTCATCTGGGTAGAAGCCGACACACTCTCGTTAGCCCTGGCATTCCTAAACCCGTAAGTACCACCGCCCACCGTTGGCCGCCGGGCCCCAGCGACGCAGCTGACTCAGGCTCGCCATGGCACGCATACAGCCTCACGTCGATCCTCATCTCTCGCTTCTACTTCGGCCTCGACGAGCTCAGGCGCGAAGAGGAAGCGTCCGCGCTCCCGAGCCAGAGCTCCGGGCCCGCGACAACCATCCGCTTCGGGCGAGAGAGCGACATGGTGAGTGCTGGTTCTCCTCGGGCTCCCATCCCTGGGAGGCCCTACGCCCAAGTTGTCAGTTGCCAGTTGCCAGTTGCCACCAGTTGCTGACTTCCGCCTTCCTTCGCGTCCGCACGCCTTTGTTTGGTCAGTACGAGACCGACTCCGAGATCAGCTTCGGCGACGTCGTCTTTGCGAAGGTCGTGTCGACGTCGGAACCGTACGGCCGAGGCGAATATTGACCATGAGCTTCACGAGCTTGCACCTCGCACCTACTAACCTACTACGCGCGCACGGTGTTCCTGGTGAACCCAGCGCGCAGCCCTTCCTTCCCCCCCCCCCCCCCCGCGTTGTATGTACTCCTAGTGGTGAAGTATCTCAATGCTGTATCATATCTCGGACACCCGTGTATCTTGGATCCAGAATGTCAATCCTCTCGAGGGCGTGCATCGTTACATACAACGCACCACGGCCAGCAGCTGTGTCACATTCGCCGCAAGCGACGATCACGGTACAGCATGTACTAGAGAGTCGATACGCACTCAATACGCAATACGCGGACACCACTTTTTCATTGCAGGAGCCGCATCCCAACAGACGAGCAGACAGACAGACTTATGAGCAATAATTCAAGCTATACGATACGGATTCGTACGTATACTATGTACGTACGTACGTTCGCGCACACGACGACGACACATGGCTGGGGTGTTGTTATACGAGCGAGCGACGTCGGGTGCGTCCGCTTTCTAGAGCGACTTGAGCCCAGGCCAGCAGCAACAGCAGCAACGACAGTCGCTAATCACCACCCGCCACCACCCCACCGCACGCACGTCGACGTACACGGACGGGACCACAGCAACAGCACACACACAGGGAGAGAGACGGAGAGCGAGCGGCACAGACGCGTGCCTACTTGATACTTATCGAGACTCGTACGGGGTCCGGGTAAAGTCGGGAGAAAAACACAGAGACGGCGAGAGAAACGGGAGACAGGAGGTTAGGTGAGTGGGTGAGGGGGAGAGAGAAGGACGCGAGAGACGCGAGAGAGTGAAGTAGTACAATACACTATACACCAGAGATCGGAGTCGCGAAAGCAACGAAAACAACGACAATCATCTGAATCATCAGCATTCCAGCGCATGTCCGCGCGCGGTTTTGTCCGTCCGCGGGAGGCACACACGAGCACGCCCAGCAGGCCACGAGGGAAGCAGAAGCACGCCAGCCGACTGTGTGGATGGTGGCTTGCCTGCCCGACGCTGCAGCGCGGCGACCGAAGACCGAGGATGACCGACGGCGGGCACGCGCCTCAGCGAGCTGCTCTCATATCCGCCGCCATCTGGTCCTGCAGCTCCTTGACTGACGTCTGGACCATTTCGAGGATGCCCGCAACGACCTGCAGCTTGTCCTGATACTGCTGCATCCGCGGGTTGGGGTGCTGCGTCTGCGGGTTAACAGGAGGTGCGGGGGCACGTGGTGCGCGTGATGCGGATGCTGCGAGCGCAGCGAGGGCGTTCGGGCCAGCAGAGGCACTCGAGCCCGCCGCGGCGACGCCGTTTTGCATTGGCGCTTTCTCGCGCTTCGGTGCGGGCGGCCGCGTTACGGGTGCGGAAGCAGAGGCAGCGGAGGTGCTCGCCGCAGGGGCGGTCGTGGTGGGGCGCGTAGGTCGAGTGGGACGTTTGGCAGGCTCGGGGCGTTTGGTGTCTTCAACCTCGGCAGCGCGCTTGCGCTTCTGGACTCGTGCACTCGCGCTCTCTCCGTTGGTGGCTGGAGCATCTGTGGAGGAGGAAGGCGAAGGGAGCCCACGGAGTGAGCGCGTGCTCGCCGTGCGGCCTAGGTGCTCACCTCCGGCAGTTTTGCCCTTGGAGGTCGACGCGCTCTTAGTGTTGTTGCTCTCCCTGGAGGGGCGAGAGGGAGGCGTGAGAACTTTCGAGCAGCGGTGGCGCTTGAGGAAACAAGAGTCGCAGCGCTGGCGGCTGCTGTTGACGACGCAAGTAGGGTTGTTGCGCATGATGCAGTTGGTGCAGCGGTCCTCGCCGGTGAAGGTATGGTTCTTGTAGGTGGTATTAGACTCTTGAACGTCGACGAGGACGGAGGAGAGAACTCACGACTGAATCCGGGGGCGCGGCAGGTTTCTTCTGGTCCGCGGCCTGTTGGGTGCGAGGGGGCGCGCTGATGGTGCTGCGGGGCTCGGGGCTTGACATGGCTTTGGATGCGGAAGTGTTGAGGCGGGTGCGCAATTGGTAGGGTGGAAGCGCGAGGAGCTCACCAGTGGTGTTTCCTGCGGTGCCGGAGGTGGGACGGGGCGAGGATGGGGTGGGAGTTGGGAGGCGAGGTTCGAGTTGACGCTGGGCGGCAACGGGGCTGGCTGAAGGGCCAAAGCTGGGAGACCTGGGATGCTCTGAGCCGATCGCG